AGCTAGAGTCCTTGCTGAATACACATATATGCTACAGGTTGTCTATGTAATTTTTATTGGAATCAGTAGTCTTTTCTGCTTTTAACTGGAAAGAATGTATTTGCTTTTTTAACCAAGGATTTATACTAGTAAATCAAAACATTTCTCTCTCACAAATCAGTGTATTATGGCATCTAATAGCCAGCAGAGCTGGAGACTTGCAGCCTTAAGGTGAAGGAAAGCAGTGGATATTCACCCTTCTCAAAAACTCCAGTCATTGCTTTGTAGTACTTTGACACTTTGAATCTGTGTCTCTTAAGTGTCAAAATATGATTTATCAATTAAACAACATTGGTTTTACAAGTAGAACATGCCTGAATGTGACATGAAGCCTTTTTAACAGAATGTATCCATGGATTTGTTTTGCCTTTTAGTGGATGAAGATCTTGAGTGGATGGCTCTTCATGGGCAGGGCTATTTCAGCTTGCAGAAGTGCCATCACCTTCTGCTCCCATGTACCCTGAACTGGGCAAGGTTAAGATTTTAATTAAAAAAAAAAATTCACCCAGAACTTTCCAGTCCTCGCTACACATATTGCATATTGTATTAACTTCAGCAAGCCATACATGACATGCAAATAGCTAAGACAGGCCAGCTGCAATGAAGTCAAGGTATCTGCCATATAAAGGAAAAAAAACTGTAAAAAATTTACCACCTCCACCACTACAGCAAGGCCGCAAAGCACGCGGCTGTAGGATAGACTGCTAAGAATCCCTGGGTTTAAACAGCTCGTTCCGTGCCTAGCTTGTCTTTCCTGTTGTTTGACTAAGTCACTCCCCACCTCCCCCTTTTCACTTCCCGAGAAAGACAACATCTGCCCTCCGACAGTAGCAAGGGGTTTAGATTACATGCATCTTGGCACTTTTAAAAATCTTAGATAAATTTCTTATTTATCCCATTGTTTGACATTGACTAATCCAACAACAGAGAGAGGATACAAGTCCAAACTCATCTACCTTCGAGATAAAAAAGGAAGGTAAACAGTGGATGAAACAAGTCCCAGTATGGTAACAGGAAACTCCTGTGGGTACTGCTGCTGCCCGCAAGCTGTAGCCCTGAAGAAGCAGGGGAACCGGAGGATGCTTGTTTAGGTCTAGGTGCTCCCTTCCTTTCCTCACTGGAGCTTACATGCCATCTGCTGGGGCCCACCTACCACTGCACTTCAATCAGAGAAGAGAGTTAGGGGAAGGGAGTGAAGAATTCACCTGCCAGCTTGGTTTTGCCACGAGCAGCATGCAGCTGAACGGCAGTAAGTTGAAAATCTGCGTTATACGCAAGGTTTTATAGCTTGAAGGGGTGGTGGAACTGTTTTCTGGCACAGACATTACAGATGCATAATAGGCCTTTTTGGTACTCCTCTGCTTCAGGTTTGGTTTAAAAACACGAGCCTGAGGCCTTGCAGAGCCTGAGGTCCGTGAATTGCTGGCTCTCAGTTCTGAACCTAGCAGGAGCTGTCTGTGTTGTCTGGCTCCTGCTACTCTCCTACCTCAAGGGATGTCTCAACACTACGAACAGCAGCTAGGATCATGCTAAGATCCCCCAAGTCTGTCTGTTCCGGTTGAAGTATGGCTACAGATGAGTGAACACTGGAATTGCTGCTCTGTGCCTCACCAAGGCACACCCAGTTAATTAACAGCCTTCACCTCTTTGGAGATTGGGCCTCTTCCCCCCATGTATGCAAGACAGATATATCATGCATATTTAGTGATACAAGCCTAAAGAAAGCCTTAAAAAAACTGAAACGTTCTCAGAAAAATTTATTTCCATAAATTAAAAACACACACAAATGAAACAGTAAAATTTTAGATTCACACAATATTGAACAAAAACAAAATGCCAAGAGCATGATGGAGGCTGATGGCACAAGTGTACAAACTCTCACTGAGCTATTTGTTAACATGATAGCATCATACAGACTCTGAATCCACAGTTACCATCCATATTCTAGAAGAGCACCTGGAACACAATATACCAAAGGCCCAGCTCAAATCAGATACGATAAATGACAACTGCTTGCAGAACATCGTATCCAGCAAGCCTCAGAACTCAAAATACACGCAGCCACATGGCCAGTCAGGCAAATGCTGTCACATACATTAAGTAGCCTTAGCTGCTCCAGTTGTAGCACAATGAAAACAAGATAATTTTTTTCTTTTTTTAATTCTGAAAGTGATCTTTCTACCTCCCGTAATCAGCAAATTTAGCAAAGAGCTGCCTGGCTCTGTGAAACTTACTACTAAGAGACAGTCCAGGGCAAAAGCTTTGCGATGCTTCTCAAGCTGCTCTAGTCATGCTTCTGTGAGCAATACCTACAATGTCTTTCCATGATGATACAAACAAAACCCTCACTGGAGTGGGTTCACTTTATGAAAGGCAAGTGTAGATATCCTTCAGCTGGGGGAGTATGCAAGACCCCAAAAGATACATCCTCTATACATTTTTCTTCCAATTACCTGGGACAGAAGCAGCTCAGAGTGGCAAATGCCTAGCTTTTGCGCAGTTATCACTCCCAGCAGCAGCCCCAAGGAACAAGGCTGTTCCATGAGTGCTGGAAACAGGAACAGAAGTGGGAAAGGAAAAAAGTGCACAAGCACCACTGACATCTGCATGCTGGCGGGTGGGGAAGAGATGCTCTGTCTCAATTAGCTTATATCTTGCTCATCATACAAATACTAAACCAAAACAGAATAATGGTGTCCATATCTGGGTTTCCACTAACTAAAGTCTGGGACAAGATGGGCAACTTCAACTCCTCCAATTACTATAAACAAAAGAGAATGGAGTGTTTTCCTTGCTCTGCTCTCTCTGCTGTTAAAAAGAAAGCTAAGAAATGTTATTTCAATTTATCAGAAACAGGACAGAGCAGAGAAGCAGACAAAAAAAACCCCAAACCAAATAAACTCACAGCCCAGAGGAAAAGCCCAACACATTCCATGTTTTGAAGCACGTTAGAGGTGAACTTTGCCTGGACGCAAGTTTCCTCCCTACCCACCCGTATCCTTGCTTCCTTAAAAGCTCAGTTATGTCACAGCACTAGGAGCCTCCCATATTAACAGGAGGTGAGTAAATGCTGTGTAACAATCCCATTCTATAGCATAAACCCATAAAAATATATATCTCACTCTTGCTACAGCTTCCAACCAGTCAATAATTGGGCTCATAGACCAGTATAGGGAAAACTTCAAACACTTTTTAAAAGGCAATCGACCTTTATTTTTAGGGATTTCTTTTTATAAAAATAAAGAGGATTAATTAAAATGTTCTCCAGCAGCCCAAATAGGTTAACCAGACCTTGCTGCTGAAACAGTGTGTCAGTATGTTCAAAGTTTTCCTGCCTTATTATTTTACCCTCAAAACCCCAACACCACTTCTTTATGTGTGCACTCCTCTTCTTCAGCCCTCCTGATTAAAGGTAATTGGCCTCCAAAACAAGAATGTAAACTTCTAGGAATCCCGGCACATAAACTGGGAGAAAACCAAACCAGATTACATTTCTTTCAAGTCTCAGGCACACACACAGTGTAATAATCCGCTTCCATTCCTCTACTTTCAAAGTTCTGGAATTCAACAGATGGCTTGTTAACTTTTAGCTTTCTGTTCAGTCAGTGGCAGAGCAACAGAAGATAACCGTGGTATATCCAGTCCTGCATTTACTAGGGCTTTACTAAAAATACCCACCCACTAGATATTTGCTCATTTTGAAGGTAAAGAAAACCCTTCTATATGGGTAGGTAAATCAGAAAGTGCAAGTTTCAAGTGGGAAGTGAAAGGACAGATTAATTAAATTTGAGCATCCCAGCAATGACAGCTTTGCCTGAATAACTTCTATAGGCACTAAAGGACAGAGATTACCTGAACAGCAGCTAGCATTCATTTTGAATTATGCTTCAAGTAAGTTTAACAGAAGTTATCCCAGAAGGGAGCTCTCTTCCCCTAAAAGGTATAGCTGAGAAATTGCCCAGTGCTGCATCAGTTAATTATAAATGGCCTTACATAATGAAAAAAAAAAATATTCCACATGCCAGGAGGCTCTTTGTACAACACGAGCTATTACGTACAACAGTGCTGTACAGAGAATATCTAATTATGTACCACGTGAACTGTTAAGTCTAAAATGGTTAAAAAAAAAGAAACCCTCAAGATGGAAAATAAAATATTTTCTTGTTGGCATTAAGTTGATATTTTTACTGGCATTAAAATGACTTTAAAATGAGTCTCAAAGATTTTGCTGGTGTTCCCTGCATGCAGGACCTCAGCTCAGTTAACTAAAATCCTCCATTTACATATCCTACAGCTTAACATCCTCCCGGGCTAATTACCTCTTCCTCTGGAGAAGCGGCTGGCCTCAGCCAAGTAGTTAAAAACTACTGTTTGGGAAAAACTAGTACTGGGCACAATTTTTTCTTAAAATATTACCTTTTCTTTGAACTCAATCATGTTAAAAGGTGTCCTCATGCAGCAAATAAAGAAACATATACAAAGTGCAAGTTACTTAAAATCTAGTTTTGTGGGGTTTCTGCTGCCTGAAGCAAGGAAGGGCACAGAAACTCAGAAGGACCCTTCTAAGTAAACAGAAGGAAGAAACAATGGAAAGCAAACCCAGACAGCTACTTTTAGCTATTAAAAAGTTAGTGGTACATCAAGAATGTGCTTGCTAGAATTTATTTTTACCAAACACCATGTCTTTTCCGTCAGGTTGTTCAAAATAGCCATTACAGTAATAACAGCAGACTCAAATGTGCAAATGATCTGGATTACAGAGTTCTAGCATCACTGAAGGTGCGCTACTTCCTTCTTTACACTCCTACTCTACCCCCAAAAGGTGTTTACACATAATTAAACATTAGCAGTAATTTCCAGAGACTGGGGAAGGAATGGTAAATTGTATGTGGCTGTGTTACACTCAACAGGGACCTAAAAGAATCCCTCCAATAGCATTTTAAAATAAAATAAAATAAAATAGCACCTTAAAGAGGGCGACAGCCAAAAACTGATCGTCAGCTATCAGAACAGAGTGGTAGTGTAACTGATGAAGTCAGTAGATTCCTCCCAACAGGACTAAAGGAGCCAACTGGACCATTTTTAGCTAAATGGCTCCCTCACATGCTAAAGGCCTGCTCCTGCTCAGCCTCGTTTGCAAAGAAGGCTTCAAGGTCCATTAGCTTCTGACTCAGAAGAGCATCTAACTCTGTACTCTGTAGTGCAGCTGTTTTTGCTCGAGTGAAACTACCCACTACTTTGATTTTGCTTCGTGTCTTCCTTTTCCGGGGAAGAGTAAAGTCCTGAAACTCTAGAATCCGCTTTCGCTTCTGCTGGCTGACAGAGATCAAGCGTCCATTCTTCTCCTTGGGCTCTTCAAAGATTGTTTCCAAGCTCCTGGTAAAAGTAAAGGATGGAACTCATGAACACTCAAGAAGCAGTTTAGGCTAAGGAGACTGGTAGATTTCATAACCCAGGGAAACACACTTCTAACTGTTTACAGTCCCTCCACCCTGCCCTTAATGTATACTTATCCGCAGCTTACACCTCTGACAGCCCCACGTTACTGCTAGCTAAATAATCTGATATTGGTGCAGACATTTGGGTTGAATCTCTTTCTATCCATGTTTCAGTTCAAAAGCACAACTACAGAATCCTGACTTTTATAAAATAAAGAGATTTGAACATTAATAAATGTAGCAGTCTTAATGTTAGGCAGTCCTTAGTATTTTAAAGGATATTTAGTTGCCTTTGAATTTTGAAAAAGTGCGTGCTGTACTGGGATGAAGGCTGGAATGAATGAGTAGATGAAAAAAAAAAAATTACAAATCCATACTTAAACAGCTGCAAATTCTTAGTTCATATTCTATTTCACTGCTTTCCATCCAAATAGTAAGATACTATTTTTAAATTAACTTTCACTACCACTTAAAACTACAACAATTAAAAAATATTATCTCCCTCTAAAGCTTTCAGAGACCTTTAATCCTCTCTTTCTCTGCCTAAGTAATTACATTCATCTTCGTTTTCTCATTAGGAAGCAGAACCAACCTGGCTGGAGGAGGGGACTTATAGTTCTTGTTTGTGTAAATTTCTTCTAAACTAAATTCTTTCTTCTTAAGCCTGAAAAAGTAATGAACAAATCAATCAAGAAAGAAGAATTTCAAAACTACCTCCCTTAAAAACAAGCAGATTTACTAGAAACAAGTATAGTTTGTGTTCTATGCATAAACATGAAGTAATTATGCTTTAACTTAAAATGTAGATTTAGATTCTAATTGGGGATAGGAAGGAGTGAAAACGGGGTTGTTCAGTACCCAAATTCATACAGTGTTTTTATACGTCCTGGGTCAAGACTTGGCATTTCTGCAGAGGTCAGTGTTCCTTCTACAATTCTATGACATTTTGAAATAACAGTGCTCAAAAGAAGGGGGGAAATCCCTTCGCATGGCACTTTTTTGTGGAAGCTAAGAAAAGACTTACAGTTTAGTAAAGGAACGTTGCATCTCTTGAAACTGATCTTAAAAGTTATTGACACTTAATTAGCAAGCTGATCGCTAAAGAAATGCATTCCTTTGCCAAAGCTGGCACTTCTGTGTAAGACAAAAGTAAACAAAACACTAGATGACCGACTGGAAAAGCTTTATTCATATCGGGCACTGTGATTACCTACAGTTACACTGAACTGTTTCCTAAGATCATATACCACAAAGAAAGAAGGGTCTGTGAAGAACTTCAGCGTAATTTGCATCAACCAAACTTCCCAGTGGATCACACCATCACACTGCGCATTGCAGAATGACTTATTGTCTACGTATGTTTATGAGTATGAACTTCTTTCTTCTTTAGAAAATCATTCCATTGCAGCTTAGTCTTTCACGTTTTGCCTAAACCCCAGTCGGTAGTTCCCATCCAATAGACCTTTATTTATCCTTTCTCACTGGAAAAAAGTTATGTGCGAAGAGCAATTTCTTCCTTCAGTCTGTTGCAGGGTTGGTACAGCTGTGTCAGTCCTTCCTCACGAGGGAAGCAAACAGCAGCCGTCACTCACCTGGGAGCGAACAAGACAGTGGTACTAGGAGAAGCATTTACTGAAATGATGATACTGTTATGTAGGAAAGATAAGCACAGAAGCTAGTCTGAGTCCATTTAAAAGACACTGCTCACCTTTTTGGTTTGGGTAGTCCCATTGGAGTAAGGTTAGGGTCCGGCTTCGGAACAGTTTTCCTGATTCGGATCTGTGAAACTTTCTTTGGCCTCTTTTCTGGCTCGATCTTACGAAAGAAAAAAGAAGACGAAGAAAAATAGTTAAAATGAAGGAAATAATAATGCTAGTCAACAAAATTCCCTTTTATGTTGAGTATCCATTATCTACAGAATAAACATTCCTCTTTGTTTTGCCACCTTCTTTCTGCTTGAACAAAAGAAAGCTGCAGCACAGACCAGGCTGGTTTTCTCTCCTTGTCTTTAACAGTTACTAGATAATATTCATCATCAGAAGCTTCAAATTCTGGGGAACCAAGAGTCTGAGATATCTAAAGCTCAAAACGAACTCACTTTTTTCACTTCTGGGTCATCTTGGGACCTAAGACAGGCTGGAACGGAAGCATCAGCTTCATCAAGGGCGTGGACCTGGAGTTCTGATGCTGAAAGCCTGGGGGGAGATGGCAATGATTCTGGAAGTGAGCAAGGCTTTGGTAACGGAAGAGGGAATGAAGTTTCCAGACTGTAACAGAGGAAGAAGGGAACATATGTAGATTAATACCCGATTTATGCCGCAGCAGCATTCCACGCTCTCAGGTGATGCTCCCAAATTGCAATATGTGCACACAAAGCAATGCAGTTGACAGAAGTTGTCCAAGTAAGTGAACACTGTCTTGGTACACACCTACAGCCAAAACTGCTGCAGCCCACGCTGCTGCTGAAACAAACTAAACTGACGGTGCATTTGAGCATGGAGTTTTGAACCCATTCTTTTCCTTTTCGTATAGAGCTGTAACCTCTTTAAATATTTAGTAACTACTGATAGGAAGCGATTAATCCTTTTCTGCCAGCACATTTCTTTGACACAACTACTAATTTATTACTTTCCGTTTACAGATACATTTAAAAGATAGCTTTTATATCTGCCGTCCCAACAGTGAAAAAAGAGCAGAAGGCAGTTTCAGCACCTAGCATCCAGCTGCTCAGGCAGAAAGAACACATAACCAAGTAAGGAAACAAACTTCTATAGTTTCACATACTCATTTCATAAGAAGTGGCACAACATGGTTGAAAGTACGGAATCGTGCTGTGCAACAATCTACATGGTGTTTGCACTGATGCCCCTCCACGCTTCTCCATTACATGATCCAGCCCGTTTACTTCACTAACATTTTAATCAGAAAGCTGTTCCTGAGGTGAGCTGCCAAAACCTGAAAGCCAGAATGACACGAGCGATGTCTTTCGCAGAAAGCGTATGATCCCACTACTCAGAGTGAGTATCAAAGTCCGAGAGACTCACCGTATCTCATGACCTGCCGTCTGTAGTGCTTCCATACTCTGTATAGGTAGGTATGGTGACACAGCATAGCTGCTTCAAGAGAAGAATGAAAAACAAAAAAAAAAAACAAGATAAAAATTAGGTCTACACTATAAAAAAAGTGAGGGAAAAATGATTAATATAAACTGGACTGTAAGACAAAAACCGCTAATAGCAGGAA